TCTTGTAATCTTTCAAGTTTAACTTATAGATTTCCCATTGCGTATCGCCTCCCGAGGATTTTGCGAGATTGAAGGCTCTACGACAATTTTTGCGGGCCTCGTCAATCTCTGTACTCCACCAAGGTGGTTTCTTTTTGCCTCTCGGCTTTACCATGGGGCAGGCCTGATCCAGAGCCTTGCCACATGCCGCAGTAAAGCGATTTGCCAGCCTATCTAGGTCCCTAGAGTTTCCTGGAATTGCTAGTGTGGTTCTTGAGAGCCGTTTGTCAAGCTCTCTTCTGTACTTATGCCAGTCGGCTTTCCTTAGATTTCTTTTGGCAGGTACCTTGGACGGGACCCCGTCTAAGTCGAATTGGATGAAGCGATGATCAGAGAAGGAATGCTCATCAAGCACCCTCCAGTTCCTGATCATGACCTCCGCATCTTCTGAGACGAGGGTAACATCCAGGACCTCTCTTCTGCTCTTCGTTATGAAGGTAGGCTCGCTACCCCTATTACTTATAACTAAGTTAGATTTTAGTATGAATTCAAAGAGTGACTCACCCCGTTCATTGATGTCTCCACTTCCCCATGTGCTATGGTGTGCATTTGCATCACCTCCTAGAATCAGGGCCCCGTCCCAGCGCTCCACTAAATGTTCGACCGGTAGGGTTGGAACAGGCCTGTCATGTGCCAGATACATCGAGGCAAGCCTTATTTGTCGTCCGTTCGCCTCCAGACTGATGGTGGTGGTGTCCTCGTCACTGAACTGAGGAAGAAACAATATTTTTAGTTTGGTACTAACAAGGATGCAGGCCCTTGGTTTACCTATGGTAGCTCCACTTATCAAAGTGTGCTCTGCCGACTTCAGCCCGCATATTCCATGCCCTATCACCCAAGGCTCCTGGATGAGGGCGATGTCTGCTGCCCCCTTGGAGAGCTGGAGCAAAATTAGGGGTGACAATCCGATTAATAAATACGCCAAATTGAGTTGTACCTAAATATATGTATATATGTATGTATGTGCTACCTATTCCTATATGTACATACAAAAAAATGCTTGTTGAAATTAGTAAAATACAAATTGGCATTAAAAAGACAACGTGGCAATCTTCCACAAAATATTTTTTTGATAAATTTGATCAAAAATTCAACTTTTGATGCCTTAATTCCGTGGGTTTATTTACAACAATCTTACACTAATATCCTAAGTGATAACACCTACTATATAGGGAAAGGATTGTCTAAGAATTTTTCTTTTAGTACCCATAAAAGGTAATATTGTATTTATCTTAGTTTTCAAAACAATAAATTAAATAAATATACAATGGAAAGTAGGTGGCAACCCTATACAAAAATATCTCTAAATTGAAAATTTTCAAAATACTTTTCATTTGATACCCATCTTGCAATGTTTTATTTAATTTATAAATAATTTCGTATAGGTGGCAACCTCATAGATATTCTCGGACATAACACCTATTTAGATAACCTTAAAATGCAACACGTTATCTGTATACAAAATTTCATTAAAATCGTTGCTCATTTAATGCAATAAGATTACGAAATTTTATTGGGAGCAGACAGACAGACGCACGAGTAGCTGATTTTAAGCCCTGTCGCGACAAATTCGTACTTGGCTTTGCATGACAAAAATTTGATTGAAAGTGGAGCATTAAAAAACTTCTACGTCATTACATTAAAAATAATACTCACTCAGTCTGTTTTCACATGACATTTTTTAAATAACACCAATTGTTTCGCAATTTATGTCATTTCAATGCCAAGTGGAAACTCGGCATTATTCCATGGAAACATAATTGAATGACATAATAGAATTTTCAAAGCAATAATGCTGGATTTCCACTTGGCATTAAATGGCAAAAATTATAAAGACAAAGTTGGGCATTATTAATATTAATATTAATCTAATTACGTTAAAAAACAGCCATTAAATTCATTTCCACATGGCAATTTTTAAATATCAATTTTTTTTTTTGTAATTACAATGGCTAGTGGAAATTCGGCATAACACGAATATTTTTTAATGCTCTATTTTATCATCAAACATTTTTGTAATTTATTGCCTAGTGGAAATTCAGCATTAAGCTTTTAAAAATAATTGTTATGTGAAGAAAATTATAATACCTCATTCAGTACTCAGATTTTTAAATAACGATAAATTTTTTCTCTATTGCTATTTTTCAGTATTGCTCCATTCGAATTGGTCCCGTTGTGAAGCGTGATGTCATGAAGGCGTCTACAATGTTGGAACACGAGCCACAGTGAGTATTTTCGCAATTCTGACTTCTTTACTTAAACTTGAAATTAAAAATGAAAATAATTGTTCACCATCACACTAGTTTCTCACTTTTGTCCAAAGAATTAGATATGAACTAGTAACAGGCTATTCAGGCTACTTATTTATGTACATATACATATAGCTACTTATTTCAAAACATTTACATATACATATGTATGTAAATGCAATTGAATTAATAAACTCAAATAGCATGAAACAAATAAGGAAAAAGTATTGGTCAACCGGATTTTCAAATTTCTAGTTTACCCATTCATTACACATCCATACAAACATATGTATATATAAACATATGCTACTCTTCAGTATCAAATTCATTGATGAGTAGCACACATTTCTCAATGCCTTCTGGTGAATGAACTCTAATTTGGCAATTGATTCAAATTAATTGTAAACTACAACATCAAGTAACATGAGGCGAACATAATAATAAATTTTATTTTTTTATTGGAAAAGTGAGAAAGTATGTTATGCAGGGGAGAGGGGTATACTTCATACCCACATATATGTATGTATGTACATAGTTCGTTACTCATTCATTCATTCATCATGTTACCAATGTGAGTGTACTAAGTGGAATGTAAAGTTGTTTGCTAAGCGCCCACATAGCCGCATTACACTTGTTGCTATGGAAAATTTCTAGACTGAACATAAGCGGCGTGTAAAGTGCCACAAACTGAGAAATCAGTATAATGTACGAGTATTTATGTGTACTCGTTGTGAATGGTTATTCCAAACCTGCTTATTTTTATAAGGAAATGAGGAAACTCGAGTGAATGAATGAACGAATGAATTACGAAAATCTAAATCCAAATTCCATATTTGGGCACATTGAAGCGTTCGTACTTTATTTTAGTGGTTACTTAGCAGCGCATGGCCTACATAAGAACTTGTCCCTCCCTGTCCATTATTATTATTATTGTTATTATAACGGGCTCTAGATATGTACTGCCAAAACTCGGCCGCTTTTATATATTTTTTAAGGGCCCCGCAGATTTTTTTTATCTTCGTTGTAATCGTAATCTTCGTACTCGGCTTCGGAATGTATCCGTATTAGCCTACGAAGAGGTATGTAGAGGTATTCGTATTCTACTTCGTATTCGTTGTCGTATTCCTCTTCGTATAGATCTTCACCTTCATATTCGACTTCGTCGTCCTATTCGTCTTCAAATTAATCGACGCTTTCGTTTTCGTCCTTGTATTAGTCTACACGTTCACCTACGTATTTGTTTTAAACGCTATCTTCGCATTCGCCTTCAGGTCGTACTTCTATTCATCTTCGTTTTAGTCTTCGTCCTCGTCCTCGTCCTCGTATTCAAATTCATCTTGATATACGGCTTCATATCCATCGTCGTATTCTAATTCGTCTCCGAATTCGTCTTCGGTTGGTCTATGTATTCATATTCGAGTTTCGTCTTCATAGTCATATTCGTATTCGTGTTCGTATTCGTATTTGTCTTCGTTGTCATTTCCTTATTCGTCCTCGTATTTGACTTCGGCTTCGTATTCGTATTGGTCTTCGAATTTGTTTTCATCTCCATATTCGTGTCAGTCTTCGTGTTCGTAATCATTTTCTTGTCCTCATATTCGTCTTCGTATTTGTGTTCGCCTTAGTCGTCGTATTGGTCTTCGAACTCATCTTCGGTTGCTCTTCGTATTCGCAAAAGAATGTTTCCTACAGATTTGTATATTTGGCAGTCACACAGTGGTGTTGTTTAGAAATTTGAGGTCGGCTTAGTAAAAGAATTTCCAGACAACACCACTCTGTAACTGCCAAAATGTACAAATATGTACAAATGTACAAATCGTGTGATCCCTGCTTTAGAAAATCAAATACGACTCAACAGAAAGCGCCATTTTATTCAACTGTTACCTTAACCTGCAGTGACCTGACAGGTAGCCAATAAAAGCTCTAAGACCCTCCCTGCTAAGTTCAAGTAGTCTTTCGGAGTTCCTGCTGGAAGACATTCATATCTTTGATTGTCTCATTCCTTTTGATTACCGCCAGTGGGCAGCAATCTGAGATTATTCCTAGCTCCTAAGTAGCTCTGCAGTGTATCTTTGAGATGTAGAAGCCCTTAATGTATCCAGGGACGCACGGCAGCATTACTCTATTGTGGGCTCCCAGGTGATTCAAAAGAGTTTTACAGTTGTCAATAAGCCTTGATGACGTTCTAAATGAGCCTAGGGCAGCTTAATGCTGCTTGACTATCCGACATAATATTTATTCTGACCCAACTTATCCTCGATTGCGAAGACTTTCGCCTGGAATATGGTTGGGTATGTGCCCATTGGCAGACTTTTCAGGAATCTTGGTCCAAGTCCGACTGTCCCACTACTCTCGTCGTACATCTTCGATTCGTCGGTATACCATACTTGGAAGCCTTCATCAATAATTGATGTTATCGCAGTCGCTTTCAGGAATTCGGACATGGTGGCGCGTGTAGAAGCATAATTTCGGCAACATGGTGTCTGTGAGTTTGATAGCTGGATGGATTATTCAGGAGTGGCTTGAGCTCCTCAAAATGAAACCGAAGATCCCCACTTGTCATGCTGATTCTATTAGGCAATCGTAGGGCGCTCA